GTAATTCCAGTTACTCGAGAGGAGAATCACTTGAACCAGGGAGTCGGAGGTTGCAGTGAGCTGAGATCATGCCACTGCATTCTAGCCTAATGACGACAAAGCGAGACTCCATCTCAAAAAAAAAAAAAGTTTCCATTTAAAAATAGTAGTAGTAATAATAAACGGGCCAGTTCCATATAATTGGAAAGGCAGCTTATGAACCCAGCATCAATAGCTTTCAATTTTTTTAGGATTTGTTTAAAAGATGTTACATCACATGGCCAGGCGCAGTGCTCTTGCCTGTAATCCCTGCATTTGAAATGCCTAGACAGGCGGAATGCATGAGGCCAGGAGTTTGAGAGCAGCCTGGCCAATGTGGTAAAACCCCCATCTCTACAGAAAACATGAAAATTAGCTGGGTGTGGTGGTTGGCACCTGTAATCCCCGCTACTTGGGAGGCTGAGGCATGAGAATCGCTTGAACCCAGGAGGTGGGGTTGCAGTGAGCCAAGATCATTCCACTGTATTCCACTGTACTTGCTCTGGGTGACAGAACAAGACCCTATCTCAAAAAAAAAAGAAAGAAAGAAATGTTATGTCACCGAACAACAGGTCCTCTATGTGCTCTGAACCAGAAACCAGCATATATAGTGTTTCTCTTACAGACAGGAATCACGAAGTAGGAACTGGGCATGAACACCCTTGGAATCTCAACTAATGGCTGTTTTGCAAAATATTTATTTCCTCTTCCTGCAACTCTGGGCTCTGACCAATTTAGAGCCTTTAGGACCCAAGGGAGTAACTCCTTACGAGGGGACACAGTAACCGTTTCTCTAAATCATGATCTGAGATCGTCAATAGGCCATATTTTGTTCCATATGCCACTGGGCAAGAAAATAAGAAGAGAGTCCCACTGTTGGCTGGGGTGATCAACTCCACTGTAAAGGGGAAATAGGATGGCTATTAGCTGGGGCAGGGGCAGGGAGAAAACCCAGGGAATCCCCTGGGATGGCTCTTCTTAATATTATATTCAGGTAGGTAAGGGGAGATGGGCTTCTGATTAGATATTTGATTCCAACTCTCCCTCTGAAGACAAACTAAAAAATTTATTATTATTATTATTATTATTATTATTATTATTATTTTGGATGGAGTCTCATTTCTCTGTTGCCAGGCTGGAGTGCAGTGATGTGATCTTGGCTCACTGCAACCTCCACCTCTCGGGTTTCAGTGATTCTCCTGCATCAGCCTCCTGAGTAGCTGGGAGTACAAGCATGCGCCACCACGCCAGCACGCCAGGGTAATTTTTGTATTTTTAGTAGAGATGGGGTTTCTCCATGTTCATTGGGCTGGTTTCCAACTCCTGACCTCAGGTGATCTCTCCCCCTCAGCCTCCCAAAGTGTTGGGATTACAGGCATGAGCCAACAAGCCTGGCCAGCCAGTCAGTATATTTTTAATAGTTTTTTTTTTTTTTTTTTTTTTTTTTTTGAGATAGAGTTTTGCTCTTTTGCCCGGGCTGGAGGGCAATGGCACGATCTCAGCTCACTGCAACCTCTGCCTCCCAGATTCAATAGATTCTCCTGCCTCAGTCTTCCAAGTAGCTGGAATTACAGGCACATGCCACCATGCCTGGCTAATTTTTGTATTATTAGTGGGGGCAGGGTTTTCCCATGTTGGCCAAGGTGGCCTCGAACTCCTGACCTCAGGTGATCCACCCACCTTGGCCTCCCAAAGTGCTGGCATTAAAGATGTGAGCCACTGCGCCTGGCCTTTAATAGATTTTAATTCTTCATTCTTCTTTCATTCTCTCTGCTCCTGTATATAGGGTGTATTGGTAGTAATTTACAAAACAGTTCATAGGTTGCAAAATGTTGAGATGGCTGCTAAGGGAATTGAGGGAGGAATGGACACCATCCAGAAACCCTGGACTTGGGAGTGGATATGATAATTAACAAGACTTTCAGTTGTCTCCCTTTGGAAAGGGTGAATGTATTCTTGATGAAAGAGGGGTAGATTCATTATACTAGGTAGGCCAGATAACATTGCTCTTGCTGTTTTTTGAAGGCACAGAATAGGATATAGATGACAGTTGGGCAGGTAAGACAGTGTGCTGCAGGGACATTTGTCATTTTGTTGATTGTCCAACTACTTCTCTGCCTCTTTTGGGCAATTCCTTTGTAGGCAGTATTTGTGGGATATGGTGTCTAGATAAGCCGAAATGGAAAGGTCCATCTCTCTACCTTGGATACCTTGTTTTTTTTTGTTTGTTTGTTTGTTTTTTTTGAGACCGGTCACGCTCTTCTCACCCAGGCTGGAAAGTGATGGTGGGGTCGAAGCTCACTGCAACCTCCACCTCTCGGGTTTAAGCGATTTTCCTGCCTCAGCCTCCTATCTGGGATTACAGGCGCGGACCACCACACCTGACCAATTTTTGCATTTTTAGTAGAGATGGGGTTTCCCTATGTTTGCCAGGCTGGTCTCGAACTTCTGACCTCAGGTGATCCATCCGCCTTGACCTCCCAAAGTGCTGGGATTACAGGTATGAGCCACTGCACCAGGCCAGCTTCCTGATTTTTAGGAAGTATCCTGAGTTGTTCATCCAATGCTTCAGCTGGGGTACCTAGTTCCCTTTCTCCACCCCAACAGGGCAGCCCAGGCCCGGGTGGCTTCCCAGGCCCTTTGGCTGGTGCCTTATGCAGGGTGAGTTGAGAGTGCTGGGGACCCAGGACAAGAATGTCCTCCTTCCAGCCGGGCGCGGTGGCTCAAGCCTGTAATCCCAGCACTTTGGGAGGCCGAGGCGGGTGGATCACGAGGTCGAGAGATCGAGACCATCCTGGTCAACATGGTGAAACCCCGCCTCTACTAAAAATACAAAAAAATTAGCTGGGCATGGTGGCGCGTGCCTGTAATCCCAGCTACTCAGGAGGCTGAGGCAGGAGAATTGCCTGAACCCAGGAGGCAGAGGTTGCGGTGAGCCGAGTTCGCACCATTGCACTCCAGCCTGGGTAACAAGAGCGAAACTCCGTCTCAAAAACAAAACAAAACAAAACAAAACAAAACAAAAAAACAAAAAACAGAGACACGGCTTCAGTTTGGGAAGATGAAAACCATTCTGGAGATGGATGGTGGTGACTGCTGCAAAATAACATAAATGTAGTTCACACCACTGAAATGTATACTTAAAATGGTAAATTTCATGTTTTATATATATCTATCCACTATAAAAAAATGTGGGCTGAGTGCAGTGGCTCATACCTGTAATTCCAGCTTCTTGGGAGGCTGAGGCAGGAGGAGGATCACTTGAGCCCAGGAGTTTGAGACCAGCCAGGGAAATATAGCAAAACCTCATCTCTACAAAAAATAAAAAATAAATAAAAAATAAGGCCGGACACCATGGCTCACACCCGTAATCCCAGCACTTCGGGAAGCCAAGGTGGGCAGATCACCTGATGTCAGGAGTTCAAGACCAGCCTGGCCAACATGAAGAAACCCTGTTTCTACTAAAAATACAAAAATTAGCCAGCCATGGTGGGAGGCACCTGTAATCCCAGCTACTCCAGAGGCTAAGGTGGGAGAATCGCTTGAACCCAGGAGACAGAGGTTGCCATGAGCTGAGATTGTGCCATTGCACTCCAGCCTGGGCGACAGAGTGAGACTCCATCTCAAAATAAATAAATAAAATAAAGTGTCCAGAAATAAGAAAAAATGCATACACATACACATACCCAGTGTGTAATGTTTGTGAAAGGCTGGGGGAGTGGTGGGTGTCTGGGATTCCAGGGCCATACAGGTGGAAGAGAACTGGCTGAGGGTAGAAGGGGACTGGGCAGGCTCCACCTTAGACCACTCCCTTCCTCTCTGTCCCGACCATCCTCGCCTGGGTCCAGTCCTCCACTCATGCCTGCCATGGCCACCTCCATCCCCCACCTGGCCTGGGTGGTGTCCTTCCTCGGGTCTAGGTCCAACCACCCGTCTCTCCTGCTCTCGCATCCTTCAGCAGCGCCCCATCGCCTCAGCATCAGCCTGGCCAGCAAAACTCTTCTCCGCTGATGCCAGCCTGTGCTCCAGCTTCATGGTCATGCCCTTCCTGAGCTTTGGTTCCTTCCTTCATCACACATTGAAACCATTTGCTATACCTTTCCTGGCTGGGTGCGGTGGCTCATGCCTGTAATACCAGCACTTTGGGAGGCCGAGGTGGGTGGATCACCTGAGGTCAGGAGTTCAAAACCAGCCTGGCCAACAAGGAGAAACCCCGTGTCTACTAAAAATACAAAAATTAGCCAGGCATGGTGGCACGCACCTGTAATCCTAACTACTTGGGAGGCTAGCCAAGAGAGTCACTTGAACCTGGAGGCCGAAGGTTGCAGTAAGCCGAGATTGCGCCATTGCACTCCAGCCTAGGCAAGAGTGAGGTTCTGTCTCTCAAAAACAAAAACAAAAAACCTTCCCTGTGGCAAGTAGTAAATGTTATCCCTAATTTTTGCTAATAACCCTACAAGGTAGCTATCAGTAGCTCCATCTTGGAGACGGAAAACCTGAGTCTCAGGCTAGGTGGCACTTGGAGGTTCACGCTCTTATGCTATGTGGTGACTGCTCTGTCTTCACTCTGGTGCCTCAGTGCCTGTGGTTACATATGAGTTATCTGCCTGGTAGCTCCAATTTGGCTCAGAATCACATCTGATCACACTAAGGTGCCCTGACACCACCTGCAATCCCTGCCTAGGCATTCTTGATCATGTTGTTTTCTTTGCAGCCTTTACCACTGCTGGAAATCATCTCTTATTTGTTTAGAAATTTAAAATTCCCCTTCCAACAAGAATTTAAACTCCAAGAGGGCAGGGATGACATCTGCTTGTATCCCTGGCACCTGGAGCCACGCCTTGTGTACTGGAGACACCCAGTAAACAACCGTGGATGGGATGAGTCTTGAAGCAGCACTGCCAGACCCTCCCAGCTCCAAGCCATCCCTCCCGCATGATCCCTTGGTGCTCCGAAGCTGGAGAAGCTGTTGGTCCCTTGCACACTTTGTGGTTATTCTTTTATTCTTGGGTCTCCCCCACCAGGCCCCAGTTGACTGGGCAGGGATTGGCCCCTGGCTTGGCACAGTGCTGAGCCTACCCAAGTACTCGGCCACCTCTTGCCAAACATTTGAATCAACACTGGAATTTTCACAGTGACACTTGCTTTGCTCCTGTTGCATTCCCACGACAGGCTCAGTGTCAGGTACGACCTTCCCGAGGGCAGGGTCTGCCCTCCACAAAACCCTCTGGGGCTGGCTTGTTCCCCAGGCGAGCCCACAGCTCTGGGAGACTGCCTGCCTCCGGGATGAAACCTGGGGCAAGGGGACAGGGAGCTCAGCCACCAGCAGCAGCATATTTTATTGCAGCCAGAATCCCCGGTCACGTGGGGAAGGGATGGAGCTGGGGATGAGGCAGGATGCATCTGGTTCCTGACATGACACTCCCCGTCCAGGATACAAAACCAAAGGCCCAGAACAGCCTGCCCAGTGCCCGAGCCCTGCGACCAGCTGTACCCTGCCTCTTCCTGTCCCCCAGTCAGGGCATCCAACGGGGCTGAGGCAGAAGGGAGGTGAAAAGGGGGGTCTGTTTCAGCAGAGCTTTCATCCGAGGGACCTGAGGGAAGAAGGAGTATTGGGGTGGGGCCAGGTGCCCCAAGACATTCAGGGCGCCCTGGGTTGACTTCAGCATGTGTCCATGTGGTTGTTAGAGGAAAGCGATGAGGCACGCCCTGCCCATTTGGAGAGGGAAGGAGAATGGAAAACATGGCTCAGAAGTAGAATCACTGGCCAGCAACCACACAAGTGGGACCTTGGGACCCTGACTCCGCCTCCCGGGCCGCATCTACACCCCGTCTCCCGGTGACACCCCCACCTGGGCGCCCAGCCTGGTCTGCCTTGGGTCCTATGTGGGGATCTGCACTCTGTCCAGGTCCTGATCCATGATCTGCAGGACATCGTCCAGGATAGAAGGGCCCAGGTCCACGTGCAGGGACAGTAGGGAGCTGGCATGGGACAGGAAGGGCTCCTCGGCCCCTGACTCTGGGGTCAGCCCGCTGTGGGGGGAGCCAGCCTCTGGAATCCTCCAGATGTCCACGTTCTCTGCCTCTGGTGGGGAAGGCTGAGGGGTCTCCAGGTGCAGGCGAGGGGGCTTGGGTGGAGCCTGGGCTGTGGGCAGGGTGAGAGCCTGGGGTCCACCAATGACTGGGAGGGAGATGGCGTTCTTGAGCAGAGGGGACGGGCCATCTGGGAGCTCCCGCCCACACACAGTGGCGGTGCGGGTGAACTGGAAGGGGAGGTCAAAGGTGCCGTCTTCCTCAGGCCCTTCCACCACGGTCCCTGGCAGCAGGTGGAATTTGCCCTGCAGGAAGGAGATGTCACCAAACATGTCGCTGCCGCCACCGCTGCCGATGTGAATGGTGTGGCGGAAGTCCCCCAGTGGCGGGCTGATCATATCCGAGGACAGCAGGTCCCGAAGTTTCTCCTTCTTGCCTTTGCGACTGCCACGCTTCAGATAGATGGGCACCTTGGTGGACATGGTGACCTCACCACTCAGGCCTGGCTGTCAAGTGACGGCCACCTGTGGAGACCACGCCTCTTCTCAAACCCTCAGCCAGAGGAAACACTCGTTCTAGGGCGCGGTTTGCAGATGCCCAGAACTCGCCAAAGGGTTCCAGCTACAGTGTGAGGCGCGACCGAAGTTGGCCCAAGGAATTAAAAAGATTAGAGATCAATGAAGTCAGAGGGCTGAGATAACAAAAAGCAGGTTCTTCCCAGAGGACTGAAAACTCTTCTGAAAAACTGAAGGTGGAAAGGTAGGAACTGTGCAGGCAGCAAAGCACTTTGGTCTTGTCACCAAGAGTTGCTCGGCCCCGGTCTGGGGCTGAGGAGCTGAAACACAAAGGGTGCACAACTGTCAGAAACAGCAGGACCAAAGTCAGATGCAACCGTCTTTTTTATTTTTGAGATGGAATCTCATTCTGTCATCCAGGCAGGAGTGCAATGGTGTGATCTCAGCTCACTGCAACCTCCAACCCTTGGGTTCAAGCGATTCTCCAGCCCTGGCCTCCCGAGTAGCTGGGATTACAGGCTCCTGCCACCGTGCCCGGCTAATTTTTGCATTTTTAGTAGAGATGGGGTTTCATCATCTTGGCCGGGCTGGTCATGAACTTCTGACCTCATGATCCACCTGCCTCTTTCACCATGTTGGTCAGGCTAGTCTTGAACTCCCCACCTCAGGTGACCCACATACCTCAGCCTCCCAAAGTGCTAGGATTACAGGCGCCTGCCACAGCTCCCAACTAACTTGTACATTTTTAGTATAGATGGGGTTTCACTATGTTGGCCAGGCTGGTCTTGAACTCCTGACCTCAGGTGATCCCCCTGCCTCGGCCTCCCAAAGTGCTAGATCACAGGTGTGAGCCACCTTGCCTACCTAGAAGTATCTGTCTTGCTTCTGGGCCTTTTGTGGTAGCCATGGGAGCCCGAGGGGGTGGGGCAGTCCCCTTGCAGGGAGTTGTGCTGGGAGAAGCATGTCTTCATTCTAAGACCCACTGCATCTTAGAGACTGACCACCAGGGTCAAGCCCCTCCCCTTACAGGTGGGAAACTGAGGCCCGGGAACCAGAATGACAGGTCCAAAGTCACACAGAGAGTCCTGCTCTAGTCTCTTGCCCTGGGTCCCCAGCAAGGTAGGTCTTATCATCCTTGTCCAGGCACTGACGCCATACCCCCCACCTCCATTGCACATCACCTGTGCCCCACGATGTAAGTGCCAGATTGTGGGGGGCTTCCCAAATGGCCTTGACTGCCGACTTGACCAAGGACACAGAGGTTTGTGACCACTGTCTCTCCCACCCAGGCCTGGCGGGGTCCCGGAGTGCAGAGGGCGTTTGGCCAGGGTTGCTGCATGGCTGGCACTTCCCATTCGGCCCAATCATGTCCCACCTGGAGGCAATGTTGCCTTTCTCCTCTCCCTGTTAAGCGTTCCTTATAGGTCGGGCGCGGTGGCTCAAGCCTGTAATCCCAGCACTTTGGGAGGCCGAGGCGGGTGGATCACGAGGTCAAGAGATCGAGACCATCCTGGTCAACGTGGTGAAACCCCGTCTCTACTAAAAATACAAAAAGTTAGCTGGGCATGGTGGTGCATGCCTGTAATCCCAGCTACTCAGGAGGCTGAGGCAGGAGAATTGCCTGAACCCAGGAGGCGGAGGTTGCGGTGAGCCGAGATGGCGCCTTTGCACTCCAGCCTGGGCAACAAGATCGAAACACTGTCTCAAAAAAAAAAAAAAAAAAGAAAAAAAATTAAATAAATTTAATTTTAAAAATTAAATAATAAAAATTAGAGGGGTCAAAATTGAACCTGAGGTGAACCTAGAGGTGAAAAATTCCAGAGGATTCCCACAAGGCATTGCAGAGAGAGAGGACCAAAATGCAAAAACGTCATATAGATATGTCATTGATTAAAAGCATTGACAACCTGCCTCCCCCTCCACCACATATGTGTGTTACATACCTGCATGTGTACAGGTTTACGTAGAATTCTATCCTATATAAAAACAGAGGCTGGGTGCAGTGGCTCACGTCTGTAATCCCAGCACAGTGGGAGGCTGAGGCGGGCAGATCACCTGAGATCAGGAGTTCGAGACCAGCCTGGCTAATATGGTAAGACCCATCTCTACTAAAAATACAAAAATCAGCCAGGTGTGGTGACACATTTCTGTAATCCTAACTACTCTGGACACTGAGGCAGAAGAATCACTTGAGCCCGGGAGGCAGAGGTTGCGGTGAGCTGAGATCACACCATTGCACTCTAGCCTGGACAAGAGAGCGAGATTCCGTCTCAAAAAAAGAAAACAAACAACAACAACAACAAAAAAAGAGAAAAATCCAGAAGGCCAGTCCTAGGTTGTCATATGGGCTACCTTGACTAGGGTAGAGAGCAGGGATGGGGTGTGGGGTCAGTGATATGGGAGGAAAGGGGTCATCAATAAAAATGACCTATAATATTTGGGTTCCATTACTAGGACATGATAAATATGTGTACTATATATAAATATAAAAAGATGGTCATCCAAATGTTAACAGTGGTTATCTCAAAGTGATAGAATTTCAGGTTGACTTTTCCTTTCTTTCTTTCTTTCTTTCTTTCTTTCTTTCTTTCTTTTCTTTTTTTTTTTTTTTTTTTTGAGACAGAGTTTACTCTGTCACCTAGGATAGAGTGCAGTGGCATGATCTCGGCTCACTGCAACCTCCACCTCCTGGGTTCAAGTGATTCTCCTGTTTCAGCCTCGAGGGTAGCTGGGATTACAGGCATACACTGCCATGCTGGCTGATATTTGCATTTTTAGTAGAGGCAGGGTTTCACCATGTTGGCCTGGCTGGTCTCAAGCTCCTGACCTCATGATCCGCCCACCTTGACCTCCCAAAGTGCTGGGATTACAGGCGTGAGCCACCGTGTCCAGCCCTACTTTTCCTTTCTTGTTCAGACCTCTATGAATTCTAATAAGCAATGTATTATTTATATGCACATATTATTTATGTAGTCAGAAAAAAATAAGCTATTTTTAATATGGAAAAATAAATAGCTACGAAGGGGTGTCATACTGATTTAGCAGAGAAAAGAAATGAAGCCAGCACTCCCTCTGCTTGAGGGTGGGGGATGCATGCTGGGCCTGATTGGTCCAGTACACAGGAGCCCAGATGTAGACTCAGCATAAAAGGCAAAGAGAGAAACTCGTCCAAGGTCACCCAGTGAGTAAGGGCAGGGTGGGAATTCAAGCCAGATAAGCCCACCCTCCTGTGCTATCTGCTCCCAGTCCCGGCCAGGGACTCACCAAAGGTGGCTCTTGCCAATTCTCTGCCTCAGATTTCATTCTGGGCAGGATGAAAGTGGGGGTGAGGTGGCTGGGAGGAGGGAGCAGGAAAAAGGAAGGAGGATGCTGGAGAAGCAGCGTCCAACTGCCCCCCGCCCCCACCCGCCGAGGCGCTTGCTCAGGAAACCCCACCCTAGGACCGGACACCCGGGTCAGTGGTTCTGAGCCAGAGGCCGGACATCTTGCCCCTCCCAGAGCACCTGGAGCTTAAGAGGAAACAAAGGAATGACTCTCCACTGCTGGAAATCCAGCGCAGTTTTCGAGGAGCTGGGGGGAGGCTGGGGAGGCATGGGCACCCTGAGGTCTTGGAATCCCGTCACACATTCATCCTGTGTCAACCTTGCCAGGCCTGGGGGTCATGCTGACAAACAGACAATTTGTCACTTGTCAGGAGAGAAGTCCTGGGGGGCTTGTCTTCCTTTTCACTCACGGAGAGTGGGGCTGACTGGTGGGATGTGCTGAGAGCCTGGGCCGGGCCCTTCCCGCACCCCCCACCTGAGCACACAGGATCGCCAAGACAGCCCAAGTGTTTCCACAACAGACTGGGCGTCCCTGACAGCTGTCTCACTCAGAGCCAGATGCACCCGCCCAATTCCAGATGTGGGGAGAACGAGGGTGGGGCCAGCATTAGTGGCCCATGGGAGAGCTGGGAATTACAACCCTCACGCCCCAAGAATTCAGATTTGGCAGCCGCAAGCCCCTAGGATCCAGCCTGCCACACACAGTTTCCCATTTTAATGCTCCCAGCCACAGCATGGTGGGGTCCTTATTGCCTTTGACAGAGGTCGAAAGTGGTCCTCAGAGATGTTAAGGGGCATTTTGAGGTCATCCAGCTAGGAAATGGAAGAGTGGGTACCCAGCCTGGTCCATGTGGCTCCCATGCGGTGGGCCACGCCTACCTACATAATATGGTTGGGGAGCGGGAGAGAAACAGGCTCACAGCTAGGCTGGGAACAGTCGGTCCCTAGACCTCCTCCCTCTACATCCTGACCTTTGGCTGCCCCCCTCTGCCCAATTTTCTTGTGTCCAGAGATATGAGAATGAGCTCTCCATCAGGACAGGACTGTGCGGGGCTGGGAGGGGCGCTCCCTGCAGCAATGGAGGAGCAGATGGGAGCATCCTGGCTCTCTGGGATTGCCCTGGACAGGAGCCCTGGGTCTCCCTGTGAGAAAATGACTTCCAGCAGGCAGGGCTCCACCTGTCATGAGGAATATTAGGCCACCTCACACCCCTTCCTCCCCCAAATCAGGAGACTGTTCTTAAATCCAGCTCCACCTGGGACTTCCTCTGCAACCTTCGGCAAGATGCCTCTCTTCTCTGGGTCTCACCTTTCCCATCTATAAAACGGGCTGACAATGAAGCCACCACTAGAGGGCTACTGCAGACCCCACAGCAATATTGCAAGTGATAGCGCCAATGTATACAATAGCGGAGTCCAGGGTGCCACTGTCGGCTCCACCATTCATTCAGCAAATGTCTACACAGCCTGCCCTCCTCAAGCACTTCAGTTCTCCGGGTCCAGGGCTTTGAACAATATCAAAAACGAAAGGCTCATTGCCCCAGGCATCCGTCTTCTCCCGTCTTCCCAGACCTCGCGGGTGCGGAGACCCCTGGGGTCTCCGGGGTCCAGGTGCGGAGAGGCGCTCGGCTCTGCGGCCGCCAGGTGGCGCGCGTGCTCCCTCGATCGCCCCGCATCCCGAAGGACTCCGAGAGCGCATCGGGGTCTCCGGCGCCCCTCCCCTCGGGCTCCAGGCAGGCGCTCCCCAAAGAGCTGCGCGTTTGAGTACCAGATGTGGATTGTCTGCGAGATATTTTTGCTTCGGGGTTTCTGGTCCCACAACCAAGGAAAAAGGGGGCGATTAGGGACCCTGCCCTAGTCTCCACTGGGAGTAGCCTCCCCCGTGCTTTCCGCCGGCCTGGGCGATGTCCCAGTGTCCGCTCGGCGCAGGGCCAGAGCTCGGGCGTGTGGGCCCCCGCCCCTCCCACGGTCCGGCTCCTTAGCCCTGGCTCGAGTTCCGGCGCCGACCCCTTCCCGCCCCTACCCGGGCCCAGCCCAGCCCAGCCCGGATCCGTTTCAGGACACTCAAGACCGCAGCTAAAGATAGGACACCTCACCACTGGCTAAAAATACGGCCCCCAGCCCTGGTGGGGACGCTGGACGGCTGGGCACCCCTGAGTCCCGTAAGGGGGGCGGGGGCCTAGGCACAGAATGGAGAGGAGAACGGGGAATTAGGGGTCGGGATGCGCGGCCCCCCACGGTCCGGGTGAAGCTGCGGGCACCCAGAGGCGGGCGGGAAGCCCCACGAAGCCCTAGGCGCCCGCGAAAGGACCTGCGTGAGGTGAGACTCTGGGCCAGGGCGCAAGCTGGGTCGGGGCGCCGCAGAGATGGGCTTCTCCGGGGGTCCCCGCGGAGCTTCGGAAATCCCAGCCCGAACTCACCGTGAGGCGAGCAGACGGCGGACCGGCGGGCGGCAGGGGCTCAGGAGCTGGACAGCGCGGCTCCGCACCCGACCGGGTGGTGAACTTAGAGCTCTCACCGCGGACCCCCGCAGCCCCGCCCCGGCCCGCGGAGCCAATCCCGGGGCCTCGCCCGCCAGGCCCCGCCCCGGCCCGGCCCCGCCCCTCTCCCGGCACCGCCCTGGGCTCTGGGTGTGGGAGGTGCCGCGCCCGGGTCCTGCGGCCGCGCGCGCGGGCAGCTGCCGGCCTGGTGGCGCAGGGTGGCCTCCAGGGATTCCAGCTGTGCCCGTGGGAACTAAAACCCTCGGTTCTAGAAGGGCCGGGGGAGAGGCTGCCGGAAGACCGAATTCTTCAGAAATCGCATAGCGACTTTGGACTGGATCCCTCCCAGCGGGGCTGGGTCGGGGAGGCGCCGGCACTAGCATATTCAGTGACTTCCAAGGGAATGAATGAGGCCTTGGAAGCGCCTGCGTTAGAATACTACAAACTTACAAGCGAATTGAGTTTATTATCTCCCACTAGGAGGGTATGAAAGGGCTGAGGCAGCGTGGCCTGGACCCCCGTGCTTGCTCTCAGGCTTCCAGAGCGAAGGTGGGGCCCATACTCAGACTGGCTCTTCATTCATTCATTCATTCAGTCAGTCAGTCAGCCAGTCATTCCTACAGGACCAGAAACATTTTTTGAAGGGCAGACACCGCACAGGGTGCTGGAGACAGACTGAAGGAAACTTTGCACCGCTCAGTGATTCAAGAGAGATTTGTTGAGTACAAAGTGCCCAGCGCCGTTCTTGTCCCTGGGGATTCAGCTTCTGGATTGGGACCTGCAGCCCAGTGAAGGGAAATGGGGGAAATCCAAGTTCCCAGGTACACCGTGATACTCTTCCAGGTAGGTAAGTACTGAGAAGAGCGAGAAAGAGGAAGGGGTGGGTAGTGACGGACTGGACAGACCTCACTTTCTAGAGGATGACAGCTATGCCAGCTCAGTGCGACCAGGATGGCTGGCTTCCATGCCGTCAGTGTGGGAAGGGCTTTTACGGAAGCAGGGCCAGGAAGACCTCCAGGAGGAAGGCAGGATGCTGGGGGTGGGGGAAGATGCCAGACAAGCTGGGAGGAATGGATGGGAAGAAGGGGACCATGGAAGGCAGAATACCAGCCCCGCTAAATATGTTCACATATGGCCCGGTGCTATGGGTCATGCCTATAATTCCGGCAATTTGGGAGGCCAAGGTGGGAGGATCACTTGAGTCCAGGAGTTTGACACCAGCCTGGGCAACATAGTGAGACCCTGTTTCTAGAAAAAATAAATTAGCCAGACACAGTGACTCTAGCCTGTAGTCCCAGGTACCCTGGAGGCTTAGGTGGGAGAACGGCTTGAGCCTGGGAGGTTAAGGCCGCAGTGAGCTGAGATTATGCCACTGCACTCCAGGCTGGCCAATAAGCAAAACCCCATCTTAAAAAAAAAAAAAAAAAAAAAAAAAAAAAAAAAAAAGCCCGCATCCGAACCTGCGGAATCTGTGAATATGTTTTGTTACATCAGAAAGGGGAATGAAAATTACACATGAAATTATGGTTGCAAATCAGCTGACTTTAAAATAGAGAGTTTATACTGAGGTACTGGGTGGGCCTGTGTAATAACAAGGGTTCTTAAAAGTAGAAGTGGGAGGCCAGGCACAGTGGCTTATGCCTGTAATCCCAGCACTTTGGGAGGCCAAGGCGGGTGAAACACTTGAAGTCAGGAGTTCAAGACCAGCCTGGCCAACATGGTGAAAGCTGGTCTCTACGAAAAATACAAAAAATTAGCTGGGCATGGTGGCAGGTGCTTGTAATCCCAGCTACTTGGGAGGCTAAGGCAGGGAGAATCGCTTGAACCCAGGAAGTGGACGTTGCGGTGAGCTGAGATCGTGCCACTAAACTCCACTCCAGCCTGGCAACAGAGGGAGACTCTATCTCAAAAAAAAAAAAAAAAAAGTAGGCTGGGCACCGTGGCTCATGCCTGTAATCCCAGCCCTTTGGGAGACTGAGGTGGGTGGATCACAAGGTCAGGAGTTCAAGACCAGCCTGGCCAATATAGTGAAACCCTATCTCTACTAAAAATACACAAAAAGTAGCTGGGTGTAGTGGTGCACACGTCTAGTCCCAGCAACTTGGGAGGCTGAGACAGAAGAATCCCTTGAACCTGGTAGATGGAGGTTGCAGTGAGCTGAGATCGTGTCATCGCACTTCAGCCTGGGTGACAGAGTGAGACTCTGTCTCAAAAACAAAAAAGTAGCAGCAGGAGACAGAGAAAGAGATGTGTGACGGAAGGTCCAGACAAATGCTGTGCTGCTGCCTTTGAAGATGGGAAACAGAGGCCCCAAACCAAGGAACTCCTGCAGAAGAGAGTTCTACCCTAGAGGCTGCCCTCACCTCCTCACCTTGATCTTAGCCCAGTGAGACTCACGTTGATCTTTTTTTTTTTTTTTCGGAGTTTCGCTCTTGTTACCCAGGCTGGAGTGCAAAGGCGCCATCTCGGCTCACCGCAACCTCCGCCTTCTGGGTTCAGGCAATTCTCCTGCCTCAGCCTCCTGAGTAGCTGGGATTACAGGCACGCGCCACCATGCCCAGCTAATTTTTTGTATTTTTAGTAGAGACGGGGTTTCACCATGTTGACCAGGATGGTCTCGATCTCTTGACCTCGTGATCCACCCGCCTCAGCCTCCCAAAGTGCTGGGATTACAGGCTTGAGCCACCGTGCCCGGCGATCTTTTTTTTTTTTTTTTTTTTTTGAGACAGAGTCTTGCTCTGTCACTCGGCTGGAGTGCTGTGGTTCGATCTGAGCTCACTGCAGCCTCCGCCTCTTGGGTTCCAGCGATTTTCCTGCCTTAGCCTCCTGGGTAGCTGGGATTACAGCTGCATGCCACCACACTTGGCTAATTTTTGTATTTTTACTAAAGATGGGATTTCACCATGTTGGCTAGGCTGGGCTTGAACCTCTGACCTCAAGTGATCTGCCTGCCTTGGCCTCCCGAAGTGCTGGAATTACAGGCATGAGCCACTGCACCTGGCCAAATTTCTATTATTTTAAGCTGCCTACTCTGTGATAATTTGCTCTGCAGCGATAGAAAATGAGTCCAGGGAAGTTCAGGTTTTAATCTTGAGACTACCCTCAACTCTGCAGCGAATATTGGTCAGGTGGATTCTGCCAGGACTGGCTGGGCAGCTTGGAGGGAAACGGGCCTGGATCACTGAGGTGGGGATGATGGCCCTGGGCCAAGCTGTGGTGGGGGTGGGTAAAGGGTGTGCCTCTCCTCATTCTTGCCATCAGCATTTGCCAGGCGGCCCTGTGCCCTTTACCCATTGCTTCTTGTTCCTGAACTCCTTACATCCCCCTGGGGTTGCCTAGTGATATGGCCAGAGCCTGAATCATGATCCCCATTTTACAGATGGAAACTAAAGCTCAGGGCATGGATAGCGATTTGCTGTGGGCTCTAGCCCCTCCCTCTCCTCTCAGGCTTCTAACCCCACAGTCATCATTCCTGCGCATCCCCAGGACACAGGTCTCAGAGAGGAGGGGCAGCCCAGTGCCAGAGCACTGCACTCTGAGCGATCAGTCAGGTTCTGAGCTGTCGCTGCGGCTGCTTTGCTCTGTGGCCACAGGCAAATGACTTTCCCTTTTGGAGCCTCCTTGCCTGTAACATGGGGTAGCAGCATCAAGTCATGCCAGTCCCAAATCAGATAAGGGATGGACACTCACGTGTTTTGTTCGTGGGAACCCACGGCCCCTCAGGTGGCATGATTTCATGGAAACATTAGAACAAGAGCTCTGGGGACTGGCCAGCTGGCTGTGCCACTTGATCGAAATGGCTGTAACGATGAAGCCACGTGAGCCTGCAGAAATGAAGCTTAGGCCAAGCCCCCATCCCCTGCCCATCTGCTGAGAGTCCCCCATTGTGGGGTAGGGGTCAGGGAAGGGTCAGATGCTCCATTCAGCGGTGGGAACAAAACAGTTACAGAGAAGGAAGATGGAGAGACAAAACCACTCACTCAAGGCCACACACAGCTGGGGACCCACGTCAGAGCTCTTTGAAGAAGCCCTGGGGTGATAAGGGGTCCCTTGGGTAGAGGTAGAGAGCAGCAGAGCCCCCAAACCTGGTCTAAGCTCCCGCTTTCCTCCCTCAGCCTTCCAACCAGGACTAGAAATGCTCTGCGCTCTGGGGACTGTTTTCAACCCACCTGGATGTGACACGTTCCACCCAGTGCCAGTCCCCTCAATGCTCAATCCACTCCTGCCATCATTCAGAGCAGGAAGCCCAACCATGTCCACAACGCAGGAGTGATTGGTGCCTGGCCCCAGGTTCTGCGCTGTGCAAGCACTCAGGAAGGGCACTTCCTTCTCCCCATTCACAGATGTGGCTGTCACTTGGCCGGAGCCCAGGGAATCCCTGGGGAGCTTCTCCTGAATGGACAGGATCATTGTGTACAGCCCAGCATTGTGTGGGAGCCCTGCCATTCATAAAGCCATGTATAGAACAGGATTTCATTTACTAAAATTGGCTTTTTTGCACAAGTTCTCAGGCTGTAAGTAGAGGCCTTGGTGTGGGCAGGGAGGCTGGGATAGCCTGAGCCACGGGGAAGAGTAGCCTGCATTTTTGACCCAAGAGACACTCAGGCCAAGTGCTGCACCCCCGAGCCTAGACTCCAGGGTCTGATGTCAGGGCCCAGATTGACCTGAACAGAAGGGCTCCTGGACAGCCTGGTAACTCACGGGCAGGACCCAAAAGGGCATTTGGGGCCAGGCTTGGTGACTCACGTCTGTAATCCCAGCACTTTAGGAGGCTGAGGTGGTTGGATCAACTGAGGTCAGGAGTTCAAGACCAGCCTGGCCAACATGGTGAAACCCTGTCTCTACTGAAAATATACAAATTAGCTGGGTGAAGTGGTGCATGCTTGTAGTCTCAGCTACTGAGGGAGGCTGAGGCAGGAGAATCACCTGAACCCAGGAGGTGGAGGTTGCAGTGAGCCGAGATCGTGCCACTGCACTCCAGCCTGGGCAGCAGAGAGAGAGATTCCATCTCAAAAAAAAAAAAAAAAAAAAAAGACAACCACCACCCCTACTCCCCCCCAAAAAAGGGAGGGGCAGAGCAGGCCATGATGGAGAAACACCCAGAGTGGGGTATTTGACTTCTGTCTCCTCAGCCTAGAGCCTCTCCCTGGTCCTGAGATGGACCCAGTAGGCTTCCCCACTGACCCCACAGCTGCTTCCCCAACTGTGATCACTACACAGGGACTGACTCAGCCCTTCCTTCCCCTCCCAGCCTCTCCTTCCTGGAAATCGCCATAATCAGTGGCCACAGCACTCCCATGGGACTTGGAGGGTGGAGTTGGAAGCCCCTTCCCACTGGCCAGATTGGAGGGACCAGCAGGAAAGCTCCCTCCTACATCGAGCGGGCGAGTGAGGCTGAAGCCAGCTCTCCATGGCCGCACCACCTGGAACCCAGGATCCTGGGAGGCAGGTGAGATGATGGGAACTTGGGTTCTGGGAGCAGAGTCACAGGGAAGGGTGGCGATTCTCTTGGGGGTGCATTTAGGGGAGGCACTAAGAAGAGACAGGGATCTTTAGAGGTGCCCCAGGCCCCTCTGCCGGGGTGCAGGGTGGCAGGGAGCTGAGAAGGTGCTCAGCCGCACTCGGGAAGCTTCCAACGTCCCAGCCTGAGCTCAGCCTGCAGGGCCCCGAGGCCTGAGCCAACCCCAGACCTGGGCTGGATTTTTCCTTGATTGTTTCTTGCTTCCTTCCTCCCCTGGACTCCTGTCAGCTCCAGCCCTGCCCTCCTGGCTCTTCACCCCACTTCAGGGAACTGTGACCCACTGGATGCTGGGATTCCAGATGAAAGGTCACCCTTGGAGCTACCCCCAGCTGCTGCCTCTGCCTGGGACCCCCTCCTTGGGAATTGGGTGGCAGGGCCTTGCTGGGGGGACTTTCCTCTGCATCTGGATTTTGGCCTCAGGCTGAGGACTTTGGGGGTTTCCAGAGTGGTGACAGCCTTGTCCTAGCAGGGACCAGCCCCAGCACTTCCTCCCAGATCCCTCTGGGAGCATCCCAGGCCCAAGGCTTGTCATTTTGTCGTGGGGAGTAAATTGTGGAGTCAGCAGAGGCCCTCTTTAGCACTTCCTGTGCCTCCCGGGTATTTTGTCATTACTCACTGAAAACCCAGGCTTGTGTCTCCCCTGTGCCTAGGGCTGTGCTGGACTAGAGGAGAGATAGGTGGCCAAGGCTGGGCCTAACCCTCAGGGAACAGATAACCTGCGTGAGAAACAATTAACCTATTCTGCCCTCTGTCCCTCCCAGGCCAGCATGGAGGAGGCTCAGCCAATGACTGGGAATTGAACAAAGAACCAAAGAGGACAGCCATGAGATCTGTCTGCTACGTAGGAGAGGGGACAGGCCACCAGGGTAGTGGGTAAACACTGTTTTCCCTGCCCAGCATCCATCTCTCTTACTCTGGTGACTGTCCCTCAGTTTTCCAGTCTCCAGTGTGACTGATTCCCCATCCCCAAGCTCTAGAAGCCAGTTTGAGTCCTGTGTCTAGCCAATCTGAGTCATGGGAATAGCTCAGGCATATGATATCAAAAAGCATCAGCCCGGGAACTTGCTGGGACTGTTAGGGTCACAAATGCCAAGATGCCACCCCAGAGCTGCTGCTGGCCAGCTCTGCCACCCTAAGGGGGGAGCCTACGAATGAATAAAGCCAACACAGAGGAAAACAGCACCAAGAGAATGAATCTCAATGACATTGCTTGTGCTCCTGGATCCAATCATGCCTGAAGCAGTTTCCATTCTATGAGCCAACACATTCCAGTTTTTGCTTAGTACAGTTAGGGTTGGGTTTTTGTCACCTGCCACTGTGAATGAAGGGCCCATAGCCGAATAGCTAAAGGCAGGTGATCGCTCAGAAGAGTTACCAAATGCAGTGGGAAAGGCAACACGGGTCTGTGTATGGAGGTATGACACCATCCGGGCTGCATTTTCTTTCATTGAAATTACTTTTTGATTAGGTAATCCTTTTTTTTTTCTCCTTCTTTCTCTCTTTTTTTGAGATCGAGTCTTGTTCTGTTGCTGGAGTACAGTGGCATGATCATGGCTGGCTGCAGCCTCAACCTCCTGGGCACAAGCAATCCTCGTGAGTAGCTGTGACCACAGGCACATGTCACCACGCCCAGCTAATTTTTGTATTTTTTGTAGAGATGGTGTTTCACCATGCTGCCCAGGTTGGTCTTGAACTCCTGGGCTCAGTCAAGCAATCCATCTACCTCAGCCTCCCAAAGTGCTGGGATTACAAGGGTGAGCCAGCCCGCTTGGCTGAGGTAATGTTTTAATGTGATTCAAAATTCAGAAGTTGACCAGATGTGGTGGCTTAAGCTTGTAATCCCAAGTTTGGGAGGCCAAGGTGGGTGGATCACCTGAGGTTGGGAGTTGGAGAACAGCCTGGCCAACATGATGAAACCCCATCTCTCCTAAAAATACAAAAATTAGCTGGGCATGGTAGCAGGCACTTATAATCCCAGCTACTCGGGCAGTTGAGGCAGGAGAATCACTTGAACCTGGGAATCAGAGGTTGTGGTGAGTGCACACCACTGCACTCCAGCCTGGGTGACAGAGTGAAACGTCGTCTCAAAAAGGAAAAAATTCAGACGTTCTAAGAGGCAAGAATTCTCCTTATCTCTGTCCCTCAGACAGTTCTCAGTTCCCCAAAGCCAACTGGTGTTATCAGTTTCTTATAAACACTTCAGGGATATTCTTGCATGTATGAGCAAAGCCCCTCACATTTTTTTTACATAAATGGCAATATTTAGACGAGTAGAACCCCAAAGTACTGCAGGCCCTGGTGGGAGCTGGCAGAGGGTTGGGGACTGTGGGAAGCCACCTTTCCTCGAGCCTTTGCTGTTCCGTGGCTGATGGCACCTTGCTTTTTCCAGTTAGCGTTATGTTTTGGATACCACTCTACATCCTTACTTTCACAGCTGCACAGAATTCCAGCACGAGGGTGTGTGTGGTAATCTACAGACGCACTTCTCAGCTGAGGGACTTCAGTGGTTCCAGCCCTTTCCCAAGACAGGCAGTGCCGTGGCGAGTCATCCGTACAAAAGCCCTTTCACACACACGTGAGTGCTGCGGAATACATTCCCAGAAGGGGCCTGGAAGGACTGGGGGGCAGAAGATGTGGGCAGTGATCTCTTATTATTGTTATTTCAGAGACAGGGTCTTGCTCTGTCACCCAGGCTGGAGGACAGTGTACAATGGTGTCATCATAGCCCTCTGCAGCCTCAACTTCCTGGGTTTAAGCCATCTTCCCGCCTTGGCCTCCTGTGTAGCTGGGACTACAGGCACGCACCACCATGCCCGGTGTGCAGTGGTCATTTTGTGAGCTCTGTCAGCTTGTCCTTCTTGGAGACTGTGCCAGGTACCAGGGACCCACACAGTTGACAGGGCTGTTTCTCCTCAGCCTCACCAGCCCCTGGTTTCTACCTGTTTTGATTTGTGTCAGTCAGAAAGGTAACAACTAAACAAAACAAGGCCGGGCGCGGTGGCTCATGCCTGTAATCCTAGCACTTTGGGAGGCTGAGGCGGGCAGATCACTAGGGCAAGAGATCGAGACCATCCTGGTCAACATGGTGAAACCCCGTCTCTACTAAAAATACAAAAAATTAGCTGGGCGTGGTGGCCCTCAGGAGGCTGAGGCAGGAGAATTGCCTGAACCCAGGAGGCAGAGGTTGCGGTGAGCCGAGGTCACGCCATTGCACTCCAGCCTGGGTAACAAGAGTGAAACTCCATCTCAAAAAAAAAAAAAAAAACAAAAAAACAAAAAAACTAAACTAAACAAAGGAATTTTGGTGTAATTTGAGTTTGCATTTCTCTTATGATGTGTGAGGCTGGTCACCCTTTCATGTGCTTAAGAGCCACATGTAGGCTGGGCGCTGTGGCTCACGCCTGTAATCCCAGCACTCTGGGAGATCGAGGCAGGCAGATCACGAGGTCAGGAGATCAAGATCAGCCTGGACAACATGGTGAAACCCCGTCTCTGCTAAAAATACAAAAAAATGCGAGCGCTTGTAATCCCAGCTACTTGGGAGGCTTAGGCAGGAGAATTCGTTGATCCCAGGAGGCGGAGGTTGCAGTGAGCTGAGATAGTGCCATTGCACTCCAGCTCAGGGGACAGTATGAGACTCTGTCTCAAAAAAAAAAAAAAGAACCACATGTGTTTCTTTTTGGTGAATGAACCGCAGATTTCGCTTAGGGAGGTGGTGCCGGGCAGCTTTGGAGAGGGGGACCTGGAGGGAGGCCAGACTAGAGGCAGAGGCCACCTCTGGGGACGGTTAGTATAGGAGGGAGAGAGAACTTAACCCTGAGGAGGGATGTGAGAGCTCGAGATGGAGATAATGAGGTTGAACGGCTGAGATTTGGTGATGAGGCCATGGAGGAAGAAGAGGGAATCAGGCCCAGTCCAGGCTTATAACTTGGGTGACAGGGTGGGGGTGGGGGAACAATGGAGCCCCCAAGGGTTTTAGGGGCCAGGATGATGTGCTGCCTGCCTATTCTCCACCCCACATGGTGATAGGCAGAAACGCCACTCTGATTGCCACGTGCCTGGTTCATGCGCTGCCATGGCCACAAAGCTGCAGCAGGGCCCCTGCTGGCCTCTTCGGCCTCCAGCCAGCTCACCGCGCCTGCTGCCCTGAACAAGTGCCTGTCAGCTGCCAGCCGTGCCCAGCCTCCAGGGCTAGGTCCCTGCATACACTCCTCCATGGACCCCCTACCATCTCCCTCCACCTCAGCTGGCTACCCCCATGCCTCCTGTGGCTCTCAGCTGTGATGTCTCTCCTCAGGGAAGCTTTCTGGACCCCCGTTGATGTCAGGTCCCCTTGTGATACCCTGGGAAACTCCAGACCATGGGCCTCTCCATGCCATCGTCGTTTGGTTCATGTCCATCTCCCACTGGACCACAGCCAGTCCCCTAGAGTGTGTGTCATGTGGTAGGTACTCAGTGAATATGGATGAGTGGATGATGGGTGGGTGGTTGGATGGTGGATGGTTGGGTGGATGAAAGGATGTATGGTTCAGTTGATTGATACATGGGTGGGTAGATGGATGGATGGAAGGAAGGGTAGATAGGTGGACGAATGATGGATGGGTGGATGGATGGACAGAAGGATGGGTAGGTGGATGGTAGGATGCCGGGGATGGCAAAAAAGGGGACATCTGAGAGACAAGTGTTTAGGAAACAGCCGGGAGTCGGTGACCCTTCTGTGCAGCACCCACCACAACTCCAGGCGCCTCTGCCCTTGGCCTGCTCTGGTTTTCTCCATCGGACGCATTTGGCTCCATCTGATGGTCGGCAGTGTCCACTGTTTACAGGTATCTGTGCTGGAGTGGCAGCTCCGGGTGGCAGCCGAGATTCTGCTCGCTCGGTCATCTCCAAAACCTGCTGCCGAGAAGAGACCCGCAGCAGCACTGCCCTCAGCGGGGTTGTGCTGGCCCGTGGGTGGGCCTTCCGTCTCCCTTCTCTCCAAGCTACCTGCTTCTGGAAGGTGGAGAGGAGGCGTGCCATGGGAGGCACTGCATCTGCAGGAGTTTCTTTGTGGGCCTATTATGTGCCAAGTACTGCCTAGGGACCAGTGAGACAACAACGAACACCACAGTCCCTGCCTTCAGGGAGCAGGGATTCTGAGAGCCTGCTTCCTAGGGAGGTGGATGCTACACCAGCTGTGAGGTGTGCAGTGCATACAGAAAGCTGGATCGACACAGAAACATCTGTATATGTCTGTTCCCTCTACCTTACCCCTTCCTTTTTTTTGAGACAGACTTGCTCTGCCGCCCAGGCTGGAATGCAGTGGTACAGTCTCAGCTCACTGCAATCTCCACTGCCTGGGTTCGAGTGATCCTACTGCCTCAGCCTCCCAAAATGCTGAGATTACAGGGATGAGCCACTGTGCTCACCCCACCTTCTTTTAACATAATCCAGACACACGGTAAAAAATTTCAAACACAGCTGGGTGTGGCGGTTCATGCCTATAGTCCCAGCAATTTGGGAGCCTGAGGCAGGAGGATTGCTTGAGCCCAGGAGTTCAAGACCAGTCTGGGCAACATGGTGAAACCCTGCCTCTACCAAAAACTCAAAAATTAGTTGGATGTGGTGGTACACACCTGTGGTTGCAGTTACCCAGGAGGCTGATTCGAGAGGATCACTTGAGCCTGGGAGGTTGAGGCTGCAGTGAGCTGTGATCGTGCCACTGCACTCAGACTCGGTGACAGAGTGAGACCCTGTTTCCGAATTTTTTTTTTTTTTTGAGACGGAGTTTCGCTCTTGTTACCCAGGCTGGAGTGCAATGGTGCGATCTCGGCTCACTGCAACCTCCGCCTCCTGGGTTCAGGCAATTCTCCTGCCTCAGCCTCCTGAGTAGCTCGGATTACAGGCACGTGCCACCATGCCCAGCTACTTTTTTGTATTTTTAATAGAGACGGGGTTTCACCATGTTGACCAGGATGGTCTTGATCTCTTGACCTCGTGATCCACCCGCCTCGGCCTCCCAAAGTGCTGGGATTACAGGCTTGAGCCACCGCGCCCGGCCTTTTTTTTTTTTTTTTTTTTTTTTAAGACAGAGTTTCACTCTTGTTACCCAGGCTGGAGTGCAATGGCGCGATCTCGGCTCACCGCAACCTCCGCCTCCTGGGTTCAGGCAATTCTCCTGCCTCAGCCTCCTGAGTAGC